TTTGGCCTATCTAACTGGGTGAGGGTGTCCTGCAGGTCTCTGTCCATCAAATCATCTTCAGTTAATTCAGCATAAGGTGACCAAATTAATCTAAACTGAGGCATTTCCATATTATTTCTTCAGAATCAGAGGACATGTTTGGTTTTAGCAGACGAAATATTTTTGCAGCAAGCAATTAAAGGAGACCCTCCTTTTTTACAAAATGCATCTGTTCAACCACATTTTTTTTTTCATGGGATAAGAATAATACAATTAAAAAAAATGTTTGTTTGTTTATTTTTATTCATTGTTTACGACATTATTATGCTGGTTCCTGAGTCAGAACGTTTTGCAATAAAAAAAAATGTTCCGTACCAGTCAACGATAGCGGCGTTTTGTTTACATAGTTGTCAAGCAGGGTCACGCAAGGTTAAGATGATGAAAAAATAGTTCCGGTAACAAGTAGGCGGGGCCTAATGCATAATTTGCATACTATACAAATAAAGCAAAAATTTATTTGTACACCTGTTATTTGTACAATAGAAGGCCAATTACAGGATAAATAACGTTATGTACAGCAAAGCATGCGATAACGTTACAGCAAAGCATGCGATAATAACTGGAAGCAGTTGATATAAACCGGAAGCAGTTGATAACAAAAGTCATATCACACGGCTAAGCAATTCTTCAAATTTAAAGAATAAATGACATTGTATAATGTACAAATAAGTTTTATCATGGGGTACAATTATACCATTATTTTCTATAAGTATATGATAAAGATATATAATAAATGAAAGTAATATAACAGATTGATCTATAAAGTAAAGATGTATTTACGATTTAACTGATTTATGACGAAGGATATTGCCTTGATTGATGTCATCGATATCATCTGTTTGCAAAGGAAAATATAAGAAAACGTTGTTTCCCTGTTTGTTTAGCTCACCTGGCACAAATGGACAAGTGAGCTTTTCTCATTACTTGGCGTCCGTCGGCGTCCGTCGTCGTCTGTTAACTTTTATAAAAATCTTCTCCTCTGAAACTACTGGGCCAAATTTAACCAAACTTGGTCACAACCATCATTGGGGTATCTAGTTTAAAAGTGTGTCCGATGACTCCCCCTGCCAACCAAGATGGCCGATATGGCTACAAATAGAACATAAGGGTAAAATGCAAGTTTTGTCTATAATATTGAAACCGTTATGAATAGAGAAAATCTGAAAGGAGCAAACATGTTCAAAATGTTGAGCTCTACCAATTGTCCATATACGTCAAAACTGTCAGACGTCTTCTTATAGGTGTTGTTGACCTTGAATGACAAATTTTACCATTTTTTTTCTTTCATTTTTGCCTACTATCTTGTAAATTGTAATAGATAGTGAGTTACTTTAAATTTCCAAAATGATCAACAAGATACATTTTTTGTAAGTTCTCCACAATTAAGTCTCATGATCGAAACCGTCAGTCGATTCCTTATTAGAGTTATTACTCTTTGATGGCGATTTTTACCAATTTTTAGCGTTTTTGCCTTATATCTTAAAAATCATAATAGATAGATAGAAACTTAAATCAGCAAAATTGATCAGCAAGACAAGATCTACAATTAAGACAAATGGAGGAAATCGTCCGACGACTCATTATTGTTAGTAGTTATTGCCCTTTAATGACGATTTTAAGCATTTTGTTTGCGTATTGCCTCATATGATAAGAATTATAATAAATAAATAGACACTTTAGATCACAAAAATGATCACCAAGGCAAGATCTACTAACAAGTCATATGTTGCCGATATAGTTAGTAGACTGTCACTCTTTATAGGAGTGATTGCCCTTAAATGAGGATTTATTTACCCTCTTTTGTCTTTTGAGCAAAAACTAAAGAATATAGAGAGGAACTAAACAAACCAAAATGATCAGCAATACAAGATCAACAAAACAGAGATATTTGTCATGAATATCTATTCTCGTCTACAATGTTAGAGAGTGTCCTTTGTTGAATATGCACATAGACCAAGGTAAGCGACACAAGCTCTTTAAAGCCTCTAGTTTTAATACCAACCGGTCTGTAACAGTGAAGAGATATTGTGTAAACCGGAATTAGCAAAATATCTCTTTTTTTTCAAAGAAAAGAACAAAGATACCATATATTTTGTTTAATCAGTGAACCGTTAGCTATCATATGAGACCAGAAGGGACATTTTCAGAACGTGGAATAGCATATAATCTTCCTTATTCAGGAACTAGGTTATAGAAACCTTGTATTTTTTTTAAATTGGCGTAAGATTCCTCATTTGATGCCGGAAAAGAATATCCATCAATGAAAATACAAGGGTGGAAAGGCTTTCATGTATTCTTTGATGAATTTGATTTTAGATGATAAATGTTTTTTTTTTTTTTTTTTTTTATTTTCATTTTCAAAATACGCAATTTTTTTTTCATTTCGGACAGATATGTTGCTCTAACTTTTGTCATATACGTGTCTATTTGATTCATTTAGAGTTGTTACCTGAACAGCCTGAAGCAGATATTCCATATAGAAAAAGGAGATGTGGTATAATTGCCAATGATACAGCTCCCCACCAGAGACAAATTAAAGAAGTTAACAACTATAGGTCACCAGACGGCCTTCAACTATGAACCAACAATATAGAAACAGCCTAAGAAGATCTTAAATGAACATCACTTTCCAAAAAAGGAAAATTAACAATAGGAATCGAAAAACCGTTCTTTTTGTCGTAAATGTTTGTGAAGAGTTACCTGTGTAAAACGGAAATATCTGAATAAATTTTATGCTGTTTAATTTAACTTATTTAAAGTAAGTTAACGTCCGTTAGGGTAAATTTCGGCAGTATATTTAGAGAATCCTTGATTATTTAACGAACAAATATCATCAAGATAACGGAAAGTGTTATTGCATTCATCAATGAAATTATTATTAGAGGATCTGTTCAGAGTTTGGCCATATACTGTGATTCTATACAGTACAGGAACAAGTCTGATAATAAAGGGGCGCGATTGGTGCCCATAGGAATACCTACAACCTGTCGATACATTTTATTGCCGATACATAATTAAATGTTGTTAAGAATAAAATCTACTGCTTTAATCATCTCATCACACCTCCAGTAGGTATATCTAGCATGTTGACCTTTCTCATTAGATTGGTTGATTGAGTGTTGGTTGCTAAACGTCCAGTGGCAAATATGTCATGCATGTTCAGTACGAGAACATCTTAACAGTAGTTATAATAGTAGTTATGTCCTGTAATTGAGGACGTCCGGGATGAATATCGAGGAAATTTGAATTGCCACTGGAAAATGTGGGTATGTTAGACAGGGAAAGACATTTTGCCTTGTAACAGGCCACGTGTGGACCCCCAACGAGTTGTTGCAAGGGTTCTTAATTTGCTGACCAGACGTTGCTGCGTACTTATACATCCCGCACTGCCAATCGAACGCCAAATTTTGGCAATGATTTTACTGGTCGGATGAATACCAAGAGTGACCATATTTCTATTCCCCAGTCACTATTTGGGATGGGAAGGGGGGGTGGGATGGGGCTTCTCATTACAGAAGAAGCTGTAAAAAAGACACCAAAATTTAAGCAAAAGGAGCGGTGAGAAATTTGAGGGAACGGTTGTGTCCCATAGTTGCAATACAATAGACGTTAAAGAAAAGATATCCATCCGTCCATTCGACTATAATTTGTTGATTTTGTTTCTAGTAATGACTAATTTTCAACAGGAAATACGTTCCTTAAATATTTTTGTTGTATGATAATTGTGTTCAATCAACGTCAAAACATTAGTTAAGAGTAAATATTGCATCACAATTTAAAAAATGTGACGTCATAACTGAAAGGAAATTGTTGCTTGACGTCAGAAATTTATTTGGAGACAGTTCTAGTGTCATTCGGAGACAAAATTCAGCTAAATACCAAAAGTGTAAATACGTCTTTTTGTACTTCTTTTCCAAAACCCTATTAGTAGATCTATAAAGTTATCAGAATATGTGATATGAATACCAAATTACAGGTCACTAAAGATCACTAAAGGAAATTTGACAATGAGCCAAACCTTTACGGTATAGTAAGCTATTGAACGCCACGGTATGACAATATGTTAGAAGTTCACTTCTTTGGCACTTTATTTCTGTATGTTTAACTAAATAATGATACACAATAAAATGTGTTTGTTTAATAAATGACTTCTTACAAATAATTAGAAATAGCTGGCATGTCAGTAACTGCTAGTAGTCCTTTGTTAATTTATGTTGATTATTGTCAATTTGCTTAATTTCTTCAGTTACCTATTCTAACATCGGACTTCTTTTTAACAAAGTTTAAATGTGCGTATTGCTGTGTGTTTGTTTATTACACATTGGCTAGAGGTATAAGGGGAGGGTTGAAATCTCACAAAACATGTTTAAACATGCCGCATGTTTGCGCCTGTCCTAATTCAGGAGCCTCTGGCCTTTGTTCGTCTTGTGTATAGATATAAGAAGATGTGCTATTGTATGTTTTTTTTTAAATTTTGGTTCATTTATATGTTTCGGAGTTTAGTGTGACGTCCATCTTTGCTGAATAAGTATACATTATTGTTTAGGGGCCAGCTGAAGCCCGCCTCCGGGTGCGAGATTTTCCTGCTGTGTTGAAGATACATTGGTGGCCTTGGGTCAAGGCATCGAATAGTCCTACTATTATTTCTATATACGGATTCTTATCTTGCGTATATGATTTTTTATATCAGTATTTCTGTAAATAGTTAAAGACATTAAGAATAATTTCAGTTAAAAGCTAATACACACATAACTAGGAACCAAATAGTAAAATACAAGCATGAGAATAATTCATCATACATTTGAAGCTTCCGAATGACTTTTCTGAATTGATCTTCATCAGGAAGGCTCAAACCGAAAAACATTCCCGCCGAAAATGTATTTGAAACATTAAAACGTGGAGAAATATATATCCAAAAATGAACACAAAAAATCATATACATCAATATGAAGGAAAAAATATTCTAGGGGTGTATAACTGGTTTACTTTATATATTAAATAACAAAACATATGTGCATTCAATGGCCGTACAATTATGTATTACTAGTAAGTAATTATAAAACTCTACACGAAATCTTTCATGTCATCCTGTATTTCATTGTGATGCACACTAATAGTTTTAGATACAGATCTCGGCGGATCCTTGCGCCATCTAGATTTCTTATACGGTGAAACACCAAATTCCTTTCCAAATCGAACGAATAGATAAATTCCAAAGCATGTTAAAGCAATGCTAATCAAAATTAATACAAGAGTTATCGATCCTAATGTTTTGTACACTTTTGCATTACTCGAACATCCGGGTGTGTCGTTAGAACTTGCACATGATTCGAGAACCCTCGAGACCCCAAATACAACAATTGCAACAAAATATCCAAGTAGTGATATAACTGATAGAACCATGTGGAGTATCACCTGCAAATAGAAATATTTGTTGGTTTTATTAGTACGAGCAGGTGCGTGTTATACGATTTCTTTAACGACTGACTTGCCGATCATATATGGTATTATTAGCAGGTGTGTTATAACGACTGACTAACCGATCATACATGTTATCAAAAGCAAATGCATGCTATAACGACTGACTTACCTATCAAACTGGTTATTAGCAAGTCCAATATTGGGTCTGGACCTTCGTCGCTGCATGCAATTGATTGAGGTAACATGTATAGCGGAGCATAACTAATCATTCCAAGACCAAATATTAAAATCATTCACTTCAAAAGGAGGCAAGAAAAGTTTAACGAAATTTTTCTTTGTACAATTAATGAGTCTTGTAAATTTCAAACTATTGGCAAACAGGATGTGGCCATATGACAGATGTTAAAACTGCCTGCAACTCTCTACATATCAACATTATCAAGCTGCAGACCAAATATTGAATGATTCCCTTTCATAGAAGCAAAGAAAACTTTGACGAAAATTTTCCTTGTACAATAACTGTAAATTTTAGTGTTGTAAAATTTCAAACTATCGGCAAACAGAAAGTGGCTACACAGCAGACGTAAAAAAAACCTGCTTGCAACAACACCACAAAATCAAGTTGTAGATCAAATATTAAACCATTCCTTTTCATAGAAGGTAAGAGAACGGGACGAACGGAACGGACGTACAATGTAGTCGAGCGGTTACTAGACCTGCTTCCGCATTTTTTTGCGGTGTTTCGTTAATTATACCATAGCTTTTGTTGAAACCCCCGGCAATAACCTCACGAGACGAAGTCGAATGAGGTTCCCGAGGGGTTTCAACAAAATTTATGGTATAATTTACGATACACCGAAAAATTATCCAAAAAATATGGAATATCTGTTTTAACCTATCGCATCTTTTGCTGTTTAAATTGTATATTTCATATTGTTTTGTTTGTTGATTTAAAAAAAATAGTTTTGATAAGAATCATTTAAGTAACCCTTTTCGGGCCTTACACACAAAGCTCCGCCTACTTTCTAAAATAAGCACGGGCTTCTGAACCAATCATGCATGTTGTAAATAGCAGGAGCGTATTATAGCGACGAACTAACCGATCATAATTGTTATATTTAGCATATTCATGCTTAAAATGGCAAATTTTCCGAAGATAAACATTTAAAGCTATCATATGATTGATTGAAAACAAGACACAGACAAAAACATTGCTGCGAGATTATATAAATGGGTTTTAAGTGGAAATATTTCGATTACAGGATATTTACGTTTTATACATGTCGGATAGGTTTTCTTAGCAGCAATAGTTGTGCCTATATAATGACGTAATACATAGATGTAGGTTTCTTTTATAACATGAATGGTTTTAATGGTTAGTTTCAGTATACCTTTGAAAGTTCATAATCAGATTAATTATAACAGAGTTGCAGATCCGCCATTTGCTGGCAGTGTTGTCCGTAATAATTGTGTGTTTTTTTTAATTTTTCCTGCAATACATGTAACAACCGAAATTAATGGTGTCCACTGCCACATCGAATACGTGACAATAAATAACGGACATTTTGAATGAAGTTGTTCGTTTCACACTCAGATTATCACATGTATATGTATACTTTATGTATACAGGTTGGCGCCTGTTAAAACATTTAAACCCGCTGCATTTCTATGCATCTGTCCTAGGACAGGAGCCTGTTGTTCAATGGTTGTCGTTTGTTGGTGTGGTTCATAGGTTTTTCTCGTTTTTTATACAGATAAGACCGTTGGTTTTCCTGTTTGGATTGTTTTATACATTGTGACTTGGATGGAGAGTCGTCTCAATGGCACTCATACCACATCTTCTTATTTATATTTATACAAGAATGTGGTTCATAGTAAAGGGAACCAATAACAGTTTATAAGATGTAGGTTTTATGTATATCAAACTCCATAAAAATGTTGAACGGAAATGATGTTTGTTTTTTGAAAACGGACAACAACAAAAAAACGATCTATCAATTATTGCAAACGTGGATTTTTCACTTATTTTCCTTGAAATAAGATTCAGATATTTGGAATATGATTCTCTATGATCTATAACTTTTAAATGTTGAATTTATACTGCTAGCATTTTCCGAGGAGGGTTTCTTTCATTTCTGTATTCTTTAATTTTATAGGCCATTTTTTTTTCTACTCTTTATACTTTTTGCCCATTATTCTCTATTCTTTATATTTGAGAACCTCATTATTCTCTATTCTTTATTTTTTTGGTCTTTTTTTCTCTATTCTTTATATTTTTTGTCCATTTTTCTCTATTCTGTAAACCCTCAACCACACCTTTCATCATGCCTTCACGTGTAAAACCTTATCAAATTATCAAACCATAACTTATTTTGCGCGGTATTTAGTTTTCTATGTGTTTTTCAGACTGTTGTTTGTCTTTAAAAAATTCTTCGGTTTTAGTTTTTTTGCAATGTTTTTGAAACTTTTTGAGTTGTGGATTTTATTGTCCCTCTGGTATCATTTGTATTTTAATACTTACCATAATTGATATAAAAACAAAAATAAGTCAGATATGTATTTTCTGCATTGAAAAATTCTTGTTCCAGTATATTGAAAGCGGTACTCATGTTATTTTTAATTATCTCATCATTATGTTATATACGAGATTTTTTGGCATTTGTGACAGTTATATTTTCAATTAGAAATAAAACAAGCATTACTGACTATGCGGTATGGGCTTTGCTCATTGTTGAAGGTCGTACGGTGACCTATAGTTGTTAATTTCTGTGTCAATTGGTCTATTCTGGAGAGTTCACTAAGAACTTGTCTCATTGGCAATCATACCACATCTTCTTTTTATAATTACTACATGTATAATCATAAAAAAGTGAACATACTAAAGCTGTTTCAGGTTCGTCAGGCTTTTCCTTGACAAACAGACCTTGAACAGAGAAGCATCCACCAACAGTTGCTTTGGCCATTACCTACATAGAAATAAAATAAAGTTAAAAAAGAAAAAAAAACTTTATTGTAGACATGCTGCAACTCGCCTTTATCTGTACAGAAATAAAGGAGATAGACCATTTTGAAGCTAATGTGACATTAAAGATTTATTGACATTTTACAGGTTTTAGGAATTTATGATCAGACACATTTTAGCAAAACGAACAATTTCAGTTTAGTGTTTGCTAAATTAACATAGATCGACTATACGGTATGGTGTTTTCTCATTGTTGGTGACCGTACGGTTACCTGTAATTGCTTACTTCCACTTCATTTTAACATTGGCAATCGTACCAAATCTCCATATTTTTGTATAGAATATAGCAAGCTAGGGCTCATTTATTTTTGCGAATACAAGATTAACACAAACACACTTTATATCGTTTAAATATCGTAGGGATGTTTTCTTTATTATATATGCGCATGTGCTTTTTCTATTGTGTGTGCCAACTCAAAGTGTTCCGATACATATTGATGGTTAAGCATACGTTGTTATTGTTGAAAAAAACCCAGTGAAAAATAGATAAAAATAATGTGTCCTTAATTTTGATAGGACTTATTTTATATATACTGCTACAAAAATGTAATATCGGTGTAAAACATTAACCACTGTAACATTTTTTTTTTGCCAAACACTGTATTAGTTCAATTGTGTCAAAGAAACCTGAATACATTTAACATTTCTATGATTGTCTAAAAAAAACCCACAACTGTAGCAGCAACAAAGGATGCCACATAGAATGGAGGTGTGGAATATAACTCTCCATCCATCCATATAACTCCGATGATTCCACAGACAAGAAGTCCCGTCATTATCACAGTGTCAACAATGAACAGTAAAAAGTGCGAGCGGAAGGCTTCACGTCGCAAACCTGAAAATATTATTTTTCTTTTTTTAATGAAATCCATACAATACTTGATGATGAAAATGACAATTATGATCAGGACATCAAATGATTTTTTGTTTCCCTGACAAACATTTTACAAGTCCAAAATTATAAAATAAAGTAATCACAATGGATAAATGTTATTATACATTAAAACTGGTAGGCTATCACTGCTGGTATGCTGTTAGTCCATGGAGCGTACTATCTGTTCAGTAGTCAGTGCGAACATGTAGTTACCGGGATGATGTATAACAACTATTTCAAAATACCCCGTTGATAAATTTTGAAAAGTCTAAGGTTCTAACTGCATTAGACAAAGTTGACCTGAGATTAATTTGGCTACAACTTAAGGGTATACGATACAGTTACAAGGGGAGGTAATGACGTTGCTATGTTATTTTTGCGACGTCAAACTGTGACATATCGGGAAAAGATGCATTTTTCGACTGATTTTTATCATTCACCATGGGATCAAAACTGTATCGTATGCCCTTAAGGGTCCCTTTTAGTAATATATCTACAAACGTGTCTATGTATTAATACATCCCTGACTTTATAATGTTTAGGTCTGAGCGTTCCTGATTAAAAATAAATTCCGAAAAGCGCTTGGGTGCACGAAATTATGTAAGTGTTATTTTCATTTAATAGCACTGGGTCGATGCCTCTATTCATAAAAATAATAAACAAACCCTGCAAAGACTGCACGAATAAGTATTTTATTTAAGGAACGACGTGTTTAGTATTGTTCTTCATCGAAAAAAGTAGGAAGGTTTTAATAGTGGATTATAGTGCTCATACCTTTGAACAATTTTTATTAGAAAAGATAGGATATGGGGATCCATGATCCATGATCCATGAAACCCAATTTGGCAAGGGTTTTTACTGTCGGTCGGAAGAAGACCAAAGTGACCATATTTCTATTACCTAGTCACCCTTGGTATTTCACCCCTTTTGAAAATGAATATATATAAAGAAGACCTATGTTGAGTGTATGTCAATGAGACGGCATTCTAACGACAAGAAATATCAAGATATATATATATATATATACAAGTTTTAAATGAAAACAACGTTCAAACCTATGATTGCGTTGGATAAAAACCGCAATTTTAATACGTGTGCATGTAAAACAAATTTCTTGGTAGAGGGGTCTAAATACAGCACAAACAACATTTTCCAAAAGACCAAAAAAGTTAAAGGTATTTTTTAACAAATCGCATTTGACTAACAACTGATGTTCTTAAACCCTGCTGACTGCCAATGACGATTGCCAAATAAATTGATCACGAGATGTAACATGGATCTTAATTATTAATTTAATACCAAACAGAAAACAATAAACTTGCGGAAAAGATGGTAAACCGCAAACATGAGGTGCAAAAATATATATCTATTGGTCAAAACACGACCTTTCAACGGTAGATACGTGCAGTTTATATATGTATGTCTGAAGTCTAAAACTTTGTCAATTGGTGTCATGTGTTAAATCTAAATGTCTTTGTTATCTATGAAATTTGATTTTTTCCAACGGATTTCGCATTCTATGTCTCAAAACTTTTTAAACACGTTGTGTTTAAGAGCCTGACACTTGTCCCTTGGTGAATATCATAGGCATTCACCTCTAAATGTCATTTTCATTTATCTTAAAGATCGTTGGGTTGCTGTCCCAAAGTCGTTATTCTCCCTTTATTGATGAAACGTTTTTCGAACAAAATAAAAAGCCTAAAATAAAGTGTGAAGAAGTAATAAAACCATGACAATTTATATCAAAATCGAACATTTCGAAACTTGTAAATAAGAAAAAACGACACAATAGGTAGGTCATGTAATAGGGTCGACTAGGATAAAGGGCGTAAAATATAGACTACCACTGGAAAATGAGGTTAAATTGCACAAGGACAGAAATTTAGCCTGGCAACAGGCCACCTACAGACCTCTCTAGAGTTTTGATGGGGTTTTTAACGTGAAAAGGGCCTGGCATCGGATTAAGCGTCACCATTCTGACCGGACGTGGAGTTGAATTTACACATTTCGCACAACCAAACGGACTTCCAGCTTTGACAAGGGTTTTACTGCCGTTTGGAAGAAGACCGTGAGTGAAAACATGTCTATTCCCCTATTCTGGGTGTATTGTTCATCGAATCCTTGAATTATGTTAAAATTGAGATACAATTTATGGCAAAAGAGTCAACCTATACAGGGGTAGCACGTGGAAAAGATATTTGATATATAGTGAGAGAGCCATGTGATGTTATCAGATTATTACATGGCATTTTTTATATCAGATGTATTTTCAGCCCTTAGTTTCCCTTAAAATCATGCTGATGAGTGATTTTTGGAAACCGAAGGCTTTTGAGCTTGCCAAAGAAATATATAAAAAAACTCGTCCTGAAAAAAGAATGAAACCTTAAATCCTACATACCTCTGTTAGGTGTCTTGTACTCTCCATTGGAACCTGGTGTTTGATACATTGTATTTTCTGTTAAAAAAACATTGTCATTAATAAAGCGATAAAACAGATCAAGGCAACACAAAAGATTACTTCAGCCAAATGTCAATAGTTAGTTATAGTTTATTTGTCATATGAGACAGTCATAAAAGGATTTTACTTCATAAGAAATAATGTTTTGATCTTTAATTTTTATGCTGATTCACTAGTCTTTTATATAGAAAATATGTTTTAAATTCTTCGTAATTGTATATAGACTACTGATGATATGCATGACTTTTAAATTAGTACACCGGATATTGCAAATCTCTAACTATAAATGAAATTATATTGTAATAAAGAGCGTGCCATTTAAGAACTCATAACAGAAAGACCGGAATTAATCTTTCTGGACCGCCTAACAATACTGGTGAGTTGATTAATATTGATTATAATTGTTTGTAATGCTTTTCTGTTGGGGGATGCCTGAAACTTTTACTAGCACTGTCAAATGGATATTAATTTCTTATAAACAAATATGCATATAATACGTTATCCTTCAACCCTGGCCTTATCTCTTCGTAACGATGTTAGGAGAAGGCATGGAAGATTTCAAGTTTAGAGCACTTTTCAGAGTTGAACAGGATTTTAGTTAATTTGGACATCAGAAAAATGTAAAGAGTAAATAAATCGATCACATTAAACAATCACCACTGCTCAACGATACCAGCCAATAATCTTTTCGTGATAACATTTATATATATTAATCAACTAATTATGGTATTTTGCATTAAGTTGGAAGTAAATTCGGCGAATTAGTTACGGGATTATTTAAAAAAAAAAGGGAAAAATGAATGATTTCCGACAATACATCGTTTTTACATCTAATAGTCTTAACATGTCGTTTTTTCGCATGGCTTTGATACTAAAAATGAGCCACGACAAAAAAACTTTGCAACGTATCGCTTTGGAACTCATCGGGAACCTTAAGTCTCTCAAATATTAATTAATAATTGGAAACGAACAAAAGGATGAATGATTGATTGTTGATTGCTAATTGTTCAGTGGCAAATATTTCATGCATGTTCAGGACGATTAACAAAAGGAGATACGCGGGTATACGTCAATGAGAGAGCAATCACACGACATAAAAAACAACAAAGTATTTAGTGTTGATTATATACTAAGTCTGGTAGTCTTAATCGATAGACAGAGGGTAAATAAGATATGTCTAGCATTTAACCTGCCAGGTTTAGACATGTAATTAATTAATTAATTTATTCAACAGAGACAACAATGAATAAATCCCAATCATTGATATAAACATAATAAAACATTGATAAAAAAAAAACTACACTATAACTTGTTTGAATAAAATTGAGAATGGAAATGGGGAATGTGTCAAAGAGGCAACAACCCGACCAAAGAGCAGAAAACAGTCGAAGGCCACCAATGGGTCTTCAACACAACGAGAAAATCCCGCACCCGGAGGCGGGCTTCAGCTGGCCCCTAAACAAAATTGTGTACTTGATCAATGAAAATGGACGTCACACTAAACTCCAAAACATATAAATAAACTAAAATAAAAAAACATACAAGACTAACAAAGGCCAGAGGCTCCTGACTTGGGACAGGCGCAAAAATGCGGCGGGGTTAACACGCATGTACATTTACATGTAAAACAATACTAACAAATATCATATCAGAGAATGATCCCAGTAACTGAGAGCTAGATTAAAGTACTTAACCAGCTGATATATATATAGTACGTATATGTCTACCTAAATTGCAATATAGAATCCGTGTATTCAATTCTTAAAATCAGATTATTTTTGTTGTTGTTTTTTTGGACACAATGCATTTTTGGTCTCTTGTCTTTTCTTCGCAAGAAGAAACTCATACTAACCAAATCTTGCAGTGAGGTGAGAGTTTTTCCGCTCCGTGTTGAAGGCCTCACTGTGCCTTTTGAGATGAAGAAGAGCAATAAAAGGGCTGTTCCTTTACTCTTTGTGTGTTTTTTGCTGTGCATGTACTGATTTTGTGTCATGGATGGATACCCCATATCCTTGTTTTTCTATTAACCAGATTACCTAGAATTAGTTTTACCGCTATTGGTTTATGAGAGTACTTGATGCAATTTACATTACCCAAAAACTTATAAAATTCATGTACCTTTAAATATATTTAGTATATAACATCAGTCATTGTTTCTTTTTTCCATATCGAAATTGTGAAATGAATGGGACAAAGAAATCAAAATATCATCACCCGTCGGAACGTTTTAACTAAAGTTAAACTTAAATATCAATCAAGAATCAATGCATTTGCACTGTAGACTGAGAAACCGATATTTTTGGGGCCTTTTTAGTATTGGATGATATTTGCCACATTGTATGGATCAATTGCTTCAATCATCGAACATTGTACATGTATTTTGGACTGCGTTCACAAGCGATAGAAATTGATTTCTGGATTTGAAAAAAAAATCATATACCGACCACGGTCTCCAACATGTTGCACGAAAACGAATCTTTTGACCTATAAACCGAGACAGAAATGTATTAACTAGTTCAGATTTTCATCAAACAGTCTGGTGGCTTCAATATTGCAAAAGAATAACTGTTAACAACAAACATAAATTCAATTTTTCTTCTATTTTCCCCTTTTTTTCTATTTACAGAAACATTTATTGCATTAATATTTCAGAACGCATAGCTACACTAGAAATATCTGTGCTAATGCGAGAAAATTTAAAGTCCTTACAGATAGCTTGATATATAATGTTACCATTGCTGAAGTCCGTTTAGCATAGTTATACAAATTACCAAAGGCATGAATACTTTTGAACCTTTTTTCTAACCTTCACTTTTTAATCTCATACTTGATAAGGATGTACTGCAGTGCAACCAACTCAACTGGCAAAAGAAATTTTAGCAAACAATTGAACACTATTAGAGGACCTGGCCGGCGTTGTGGCCGTTTATAGCACCAGCTTTGTAGCCGTGTATAGCGCCTAGTTTTTCAAATTACCTGTATTTTCGAAAGCCTATTTAAAAAAGAAAAAAAAATCAACAATTAACAGAGATGAATAAAAGTAAACAAACTACTCTCGTTGTGCTAATTTGTATTGTTTATTTAAATATTGAATTACAAATGTTATTTTAAAAAATACGTAACATTTATTGTTTTTGGAACGACATATAGTATTGAAAGCAACGCAATTGTATAAACGTATTAACAAAAACACCATGTATGCGACATTTAAATGTAAAGCTGTTCATATGTATTTTTTAGTGGGCGGATTGAAATGAATTAGATAAATGATTTCATTACATTGTACAAGATAGCCATACTTTTCCAACTGTCTTTTTAATGAAGTATGAAAATTTTATATTGTGCTATTTTGACATTAAAATCAATCATAATTACGACATTCTGCTATCATTTGTAATCAATAAGTAAAAATGGATGAAATTTCTTTCGCTAAAATGGACATTGATAATTTTAGTTTTCGCAAAAAACGGGTTAATAACCTAAAACAAAAATGGTATATACTTTGGCATAAAAACATCTGATATTTTTCTCTCAAATGTCCTATCGAGTAGCTGAAATGTCCACAACCGAACTCACTAACTGAATGAATTTGTTTAACTGGTGTGGACAGTACGACCATATAAACGTAAGCTTCATGTCATTGTTTTCCTTGATTGTTTTTATATAAATATATACAAACAATGTATTGTGTGTCAATAGTAAATATTTGTGTAATCGAGACGACAATTCTAAGTTGTATAACTGTGTCCGATCCTATTGTCATGTATAATTTCGACAATTAAATATGTTTAAACTAAATATTTTCAATATATAAGGACTTTAAATAGTAAATATTTTCAATATATAAGGACGAAAACTTAGTCTGATTTTCAATACAAACTGTCCTCTGTAAATTTTAATATGACCATAAACTGTTATGTTATCTGACATTTATTACAAAATAACATAAGACTAATACAAATGAATGTACGCAATGAAATAAAAAAAAAAAAAAAAAAAAAAAAAACTGCTAATTACATAAATGAGCAATTGAGATAGCAACTCAATATCTTACAATTTTGTTTGCTCATATTTATTCCACTACTTTTAGTTGGAATTTTATAATAAGATTAGAAAAAAATAGATAACGTTGTCATTCGGGAATAACATTATTGTTATCATGAAAGAAAAACATAGATATTGTATATTTGTCATTCTGGAATACAAATAGTGTACTAAGTATATAACATTTTTAATACATATATAAAAAAAAGCGTAATAATTGTGAAAATAACTAACCTTTAAAACACTGGGAGATCTTTGTTTATTTAATCTTGAATGAAAACATTTAAAAGAAGTTTAACCAATACATTAAAAAATCTTCGACACGGAACATGCACTTTTCATATTCTCTTTGTATTCTAAGTGTTCATGTCGAAATCTCAGTCGATTTAATGTTTTAATTAATAGTATAACTATGTAGTAGGATTATTGGCAGACGACAAAATTTACTATTTAAATTTATCATTGTATATTAAAACACATTTTCTATTTTTACCGTTATTATTAGAACTTTAAAAGAGCATGAAAAAAAAAACTTGTGCATCAGAGGTTGAAGTTAATATTGATCTCGGGTCAACATATTCAGCAAAATCATTTCAATAAAGAAGACTTATGATGTATTGGGTGATATGTATAGATTATAACATGCCCTTTTCCATATTGGCCCTGGTATCGTCCCGAGACTCCCATATCGGCCTCGAGGATGATACCAGGGCCAATATGGAAAAGACATGTTAAAATCTATTTATCACATATTTAAGTTCTGCAGAAAAGTGAAAAAGTTCAATTATAACAATTTAATGAAATATAACAGGTAAAATCTTAAAATTTTTATCACAAAAGTTTTATCACATTTTCAAATTTACTTTAGTTTTTATCATTTACTCCATAGAAATTTATTGTCACATTTCTACTTATTTTGGAATATGGCAATACACAATTGCGTAATTCTCCGGCACTTTTTAACCACTCCTAAGTCTCCTTTAGAATTTTAATGTCACTTTCAGTTTTTTCCTTGTGTTAGTGTTTTTCATTTGCTCTACAAAGTCTGTCCTATCGCTTTCCTCCACTGCGATGAAACGAGCACCGTCATTGTTCGCCATTGTCGTTAAGGACGCAATGACGTCACGTCATTTGGAATCAGGGCACACTAACCAATAACCTCTTTTTTGCCCCGGGCAATTTTGAGGTTATTACATATGCAAAACCCAACGTATTCGTAACAAATATTTGATAAATCAGAATAGAGAATAACGGGCAAAAATACAGAATAAAGAGTAAAACAAAAGAATAGAGAAAAATAGAAAAACCAAAATAAAGAGTAAAGAATAATGGGTTAAATCAAAAATAAAAAATGATGATAAATGACCTATAAAAATCAAAATACAGAAACTAAGGACCCCTATTCAGACTCTCGCCGATTCTAGAAACGTTTACTTCGATAATAGAGGTAGAAATCCTTTTAATATTTACTTGTTTTAAATGTAAAAAAAAACCAGGATCAGTAGAGAGAACATAGTGTTACTGTTGAACATTCAGATTAAGGGAGGGAGGGGCGGTAAACTTTTTTTTTTATAAACCATCATCGGCCTTACATTGTTTCAAGCAAACTTTTTCATTGTTAAAGGCCGTACGGTTGCATATAATTGCTTTTATCGGCTACATTTGCACTCTGGTGGATAGTTGTCTCGTTGGCAATCATACCACATCTCCTTATTTTTATATCAAAAGACTCAAAGCTAATGTGATGTGGCATTTCTTCTGTTCTGGTTTTACTTTGCCAAGTTTCATTCATATGTCTTTGCATATAGATATAAGAAGATGTGGTATGAGTGCCAATGAGGCAACTCTCCATCCAGGTCAAAATTTATAAAAGTAAACCATTATAGGTCAAAGTACGGTCTTCAACACGGAGCCTTGGCTCACACCGATCGAACAGTAAGCTATAAAGGGCCCCAAAAATGACTAGTGTTAAACCATTCAAAAGGGAAAACCAACGGTCTAATCTATATAAAAAACGAGAAACGAGAAATATACCCACTTCTTATTAGACAGTTTTCCTGCCGAATGTCGGTGGTACCCTGCGAGTATTCCGGCTTCCATCACCCATCAAAGAAATGTGGCTACCAAAAGTATTTAAACATTTTGTAAATATATATACAGCGTACAGTCAAATAATGTTAATGTTATTCTGCGAACGAAGACGCAAAATATTTTCACGTATCTTCCGTAAAATATCTTCTACCTTGAATAATGACATAATTGTATAAGAACCGTTGTACTAGTATATCATATTTGAACTATAGAATTACCAAAAAGTGTGATCTGCAAGCAGAGCCTTTTACGCATGCAACTAGACCAGAGTCTGAAGCCTTCATAAATTCCCGAGTAAATTCGTTATAATATTGAATCAGAGAATTTTTATGAACGATTTCAATAAGATCCAAAATACAATTTAAAAAAAAAATGGATATTTTCCGATGGAGTTTATTAAGCTCATTGTGCGATTACCTTAAAAAAAACAAAACTATTTCTCCCTTTTAATTTAACTTTATCATAGTAAAATATTTGATTTAAAGGACGGGAAAAGTGCATACAGCTAAACCGGCGAATCGTCAGAAAACTTTGGAGTATGATAAGCGTACTCGAATTTAGAAATCCAACAATTAAAATACTGGAACGGCGTTTCGAGCACAAATCGTGTACTTCAATACAAGAATAATACTGTTTTTTTTTATTAATACCAAGATAAAAACGCAGTAATTATATATAAATAAATGGGATTTTCTCCTTGACACATCTGAGATTAGAAATATGAAATGACGAAGTGTGATTTGGAGTCAGTCTCGTAATACTCATTTGTGTTTTTATAATCCTTCTAATTACAGATTATTAGTTAAATTACTTGCCGTCCTCGTTATTTTTTTCAACACATTTAAATTTAAATTTTTCGTAAATCTAAGGATTTTCTTATCCCAGGATTAGATTACCTTAGCCGTATTTGCCACAACTTTTTGGAATTTTGGGTCTTCAATGCTCTTCAACTTTGTACTGGTTTGGCTTTATAACTATTTAGATCTGAGCGTCACTGATGAGTCTTAGGAAGAGGAAACACGCGTCTGGCGTATTAAATTATAATCCTGGTACCTTTTATAACAAAAAAGAGCTTTGAGTTATCTATCACAACAACATCAATATCTATACAGTGTTTAATCTGATAATGGATATCATTGGAATTTCAATAGGAAAACAGGAATTTAAGTCTATTGATTAGAAAATATCGTTCAGAAGTCTATTATTCAACTAGTTTAAAAGCTTTAAATCCTATTTTGTTGAAATACATCAATTAAGCTTTTTTTTTTAATTTCCGTTAGGTAATTGGTATATACAACGAACAGTCAGATGACACAAAAATTAGATAAGCTTTGAGAGGTTATAAATACAAAACGATGCATATTTTCAGAGATAAAATGATGTCCAAGAACTTCATTTATATGTGTTTTTTGTTGAGTTTTAAATGTATCTCAGGAACAATTGTAAGAGACATCTTCTCGCAAAATGTAGAGGCGTATGACGACACTTACGAAGATACAAAATCTCTTCACATATCTAAAGTAGAAGCTATCATTCATTGCTTAATGAAATGTTTAAACGAGGATCAGTGCGTATCGTTTTTTTACAATAAAATATCGAACACGTGCATCCTGCATGAAGATCCTTTTACATATACAATCCGGTCAAAGTCTGGAGCTGGATGGACATTTTTCCTTACCTTTATACGTAAGTAAAAGGCTTTAACGTAGTTCATTAAAGAATTGAATGCTTCTTTATGTAATTTTTTTGGGAAAAGTGTTGACCGAAGAACATTTTAGAACTGTGCGCACGAACAACACTTTTACAACCCTATAAAATTACTAAAAGAAGCATTCAATTCTTGTAATTACATTTTTATACTAGGGTCATGAAAATTCGATTTCTATCATTTATTTCGTAAAATAACCTGTGCACTTTATTGGGATGGCACGTGTCATCATGAATGTTACACTTCATTGGGATATGAAGGTTGATTTTAGTATTAAAGCGCAGCCGATGTTATCCAATCAAAATAACGGATTCTTCTGAAACATACATGTAATGTAATCATATTGCATAACATTATTTTAATATTACAGCAGAATGCATTGAGTGTGTAGGTAAAGGTAGAATCTTTGGTTAGCTTGCTTGCTAGCTGAACTGTAAAGTCATTATTGGGTTAGGTATACTACCCTCCTTTCAGAGTATCCTGCAGACAGATAGATTGGTCGGACTAGTCTACTCTTACAGGAGGGTAGTTTACCTTACCTAAAATGACTTCACGGTTTAGCTAGCAAGAAGCTAACCAAAAATATTACCTTTACCTATACACTTAATGCATTCTGCTGTAAAAGATATTCAAGGCACCATATCAAATGTATAAAAATCGGACTAGGGATTATTGTATACAACATTGCATTTACAATACAATTGCTAAATATTTCTCTTGTAAAATTCAATCTTACAGGAAAAATTCCCTGCTAACACAGTTGGCCTTTGAAAATACGAAATTTTGATTCCTGAAAAATAAAATATCTTACAGCATTGAATTCTATATTGTAATAAACAATATGACAAACTGCTACATAAGTTTGAAATAGGTACCGGTTATGATTAAAACTATAATACAAGCACATGCACGTATCAACTCCTCTTGAATTTAAATTTAAGGTATATCAGATCTAATTTTCAAGTAATAAACGTTTTCACTCATTTTGAGTAAAATATATATTCTATACTAGAAAAACTTGTTCAAAATGAACCGCAGGAGATTTCGTATAAACACTATAACAAAACTAGCATTAAATAAAAACAATTTAACATATAAAATATGCACATTACGAATTGTAATTTCAATTTCAGCAGACTCTGGACAATGCAAGGCTGATTTCTTTTATTATCGATATCTAGATCTATGCTTTAAGTTTGGACCTGCAATAAATTCTACTGATGCTAACGTTGCTACAGTATGTAATGAACCTGATGAAGAACTTGTGAGGGTCACTTCTGAAGAAAGACAATCCTATATAGAAACAATCACAGGTAAATTACTTTTTGAATAAACGTAAAACGCTAACATCGGAGATAAAAGAGAGCCGACAGATAGCAAAGGATATTCAAATCATGATAAGTCTAAAACAAACTGAAAAAACAAACAAAAAGCAATCAGAAGACAAACAACATTTAACGAAAACAAAGCATGGAAAACTAAAGACTGAAC